GGTTCGTTTTTTCTTTTTCGGTACAGCCCAAAGCATAAATCCTAAGCCCTGAACCCTAATAAGGACCCTGTGGTTTGGAACCCCCTTAAACCCTAAACCCCTAAACCCCTAAACCCCTAAACACCTAAATCCCTAAACCCCTAAACCCTAAACCCCTAAACCCCTAAACCCCTAAAACCCCTAAACCCCTAAACCCCCAACCCTCTTCCTGGGTTCGAGAGGTCGGATCCGGTTCTTCAGGCAAAACATCACCAACCAGCTCGAAGAGGCTTTGGGCCTGTAGGTTTAGCTTTAAAGATGCTTTTAGCAGGGGTTCCAAGTCCAAAGCCCTAAACCCAAAACCTTAAACCACTAAACCCCTAAACCCCTAAACCCTAAAACCTTAAACCCAAAACCCCTAACCCCCAAACCCTTAAACCCTTAAGCCCTTAAGCCCTTAAACCCTAAACCTTTTAACCCCTAAACCCTTAAACCTTTAACCCTTAAGCCCTAAGCCCTAAACGAAGGCTTCCTTTCAAAGGGTCCTGACAGGGGTTCCGGTACTCACTCTAGGGATTTAGGGTCTAGGGTTTAGGCTTCAGGGTTTAGGGTTTAGGGTCTAGGGTCTAGGGTCTAGGGTCTAGGGTCTAGGGTTCTGGTGGGTGTTGGCTGATTTTCGAGAGTTTGGGTTTTGGGTGTTGTGTTTGAGGGTTCACGGGTTTAGGCGGTTAAGAGTTTAAAGGCGCAGATTTTGTTTTTAGGGTTGAATCGTTAAGGATTATGGGTTTAGGGTAAGCATACTTAGCCGATAGCATAATTAAGGTACTTCCTCTAAGACATTTCTTATCCCCCTACCATCAAAACAGGAAACTCATTCAACAAAAAGCATAGGAACCTGTACCACAAGGTTCAAAGTAGTATTGTAGAGGCCTGAATAACTACCATTATTTTTCTCTGGGGCTCCTTATTGTAGTAGTACTCCCCATTCTAAGTACCCAGAGACTCCTTATAATTATAAAAGGAGTATACCTTACATGATATTAGGGATCCTACTATAGTTTGTGGTATATTCCTTGATTTAGGGATATTGGAGTCTCTGGGTATTAAGGCCCCTGCATTAGCCCAGAAGCCCAACTCAGCATAGGAGACCAAACGAACCCTCAAAGCCTCGGGGGCAAACGCGTCATCGGCCTGCTACATGCTCAGTCCTCCCGAAACTTGTGTATCGTTTTCGACGAAACGTGCTGGTTTCCGAGGTACAGTCTTGTATATGGGCTGAAGGAGGACCCGGTCTACATCGGCGGAGATGGCGATGCCATCACCGTGAATGCCTCCGTGGAATGCCCCACGAAGCTGGAAAAGAGCAAGCTGGCGCAAGAGACGGTCCATTATCTCCTGAAGCGTGCGGACAATCGTAAGATCACCTACGATGTTAGATGCATTCCACGACGGAAGGCAGATGTGACCTATCAGCTCGTGCTGAAAACGACCGGTGAGGTAGGGCGGCAGCAACGGCCACCAATGGAGGTGTGCCTCCTGCGTGCCAGAGTCAAACCTTAAACCCTAAAACCTAAACCGGAGACTCGGCAGGATACCCAACAGGCCACACCCCAACCCTGACTCTTCGTCCCGAAGCCAAACTCCACGCCTTGGCACCCTAAACCCGAAACCCTAAACCGCCCATAACCGTAAAAAGCCTCCCCTCCTAGGGCTGCTTATTTAGGGTTTAGGGTTTAGGGGTTTAGGGGGTTGGGTTTAGGGGTTTGGGTTTAGGGTTTAGAGGTTTATGGTTTTTGCGGTTTAGGGTTTAGGGGCTTAGGGTTTAGGGTCTATGGCTTCGATGTAGAACTCCTTTAAAAGGTAGGCTGTTTGCGCGAGGGGTAAGTAACAGAGTTTCTTAATTGCACCCTAAAGCCCTACAGTAAACCCTAAAACCCTAAACCCAAAGCCCTCCGGATGCGGGAAGCAAAAGGAGCTCAACAAAAAACCCTAAACCCCAAACCCTAAAACCCTAAACCCTAAACCCTAAACCCTAAACTGTGCCAGAGTTTTTCGTGAGCAGACTTTGATTTCGGGGCTGACGATTTCTTGGCGGCCATTGGGTCCCTACACCTGAACCCTTACAAACCCTAAACCCTATTATCCCTAAAACCCTAAACCGCTATAAACCCTTAGGGTTTAGGGTTTAGGGTTTAGGGTTTAGGGTTTGGGGTTTGGGGTTTATAGGGTTTAGGGTATGAATCCTAAACCATAAACCCCGTTAGACCCTTTGTTCCTAGAGCCCCCCACTCTCGAGGCTGAACCTTCCAACAACCTGTGGGCTCGAGCCCAAGGCTTTTCCTTCGAAGGGGCTGGCAGCCTACGTTTCGGTCGAGGGTGAAGGTTTAAGTTTAGGGTTTAGGGTTTATAGATGTCTCTATAGGGTTCTACTTGATAAGGTTTAGGGTTTCAGGTTTGTAAGCTTCCAAGGCTCTGGGTTTAGGGTTCAGGGCAAAGCCCTCGCCTGCAACCCGGAACACTTAAACTGAACCTCAGATAATTCCACCAACCAAGAAAAAGGACCTGCCGTCCTCGACCCTGAACTCGGAAACGCGACTTGAATCGGGTGCAAAACCCAAGAAAAAACATAACAGCGTGTAAGACCCCATAACACCATGTAGAACCCCATAAAGACCCCTCTACGATGGCCTACCAAGAAGGCCCAGAGCACCCCACAAAACCCTGGAAAGCCTTCAAAAGTCTTATGCTGACCTATAGCTTCTGAACCCTTAACCTAAAACCCTGAACCCTATCATGCGGAACCCTATAGAAACATCTATAAACCCTAAACCCTAAACCCTAAACTTAAACCTTCACCCTGGACCGAAACGTAGGCTACCAGCCCCTTCGGAGGAAAAGCCTTAAACCCTAAACCCTAAACCGAAACCCTAAACTGATCCTCAGCAGGGCCGCATTGTATACACAGAGGAGGCCAGACACCGACCCGAGCCACAGCAAATCAGGAAAAATCAGGCGGCGAAGTAGGTCCCACCTACGCTTGGTTGAGGGTTTAGGTCTTTTTGTTTAGGGTTTAGGGTTTAGGAAGTTTAGGGTTTAGGGTTTGGGATTTGAGGGTAGAGATTACCGGCTTAGGGGTTGCTGTGAAGGCTGAAGGCTTGCGAAATGGGTGTGGAGGTTGCATCTCATCTTGCAGCGAGTGCAACAGTGAGATGTACCTGGTTTGAAAGGTCTCATGGGGTTTACCTACGATGTGCAAGGGCTTTGTGTTGAGGGTTTAGGGTTTAGGGTTTATCAGGGTTAAGGTAGTGCTTAGGAGGGAGGGTACTCACCTATAAGGAGCTTGCGTCTGAGAGGTTGATGATTTTAGGGTTTAGGGTTTAGGGTTCAGGGTTTAGGGTTTAGGGCATCCAAAAAAGCTAGTTGCGTAAGGCTTTTACAGGTGGGTTTGAGTATACCTTTTGAAATATCTTTTAATGATATCCTGTAAAGTCGCATGATAGGACGCTTTGTAAGTTCTGATGGAGCTCTTTGAGTTTCAAAGAATGCTGAACGCTGGCTACGATGAAGCCTCCCCCCCCCAAAAAAAAAAAAAATACAAGATCCTTTACCCTTTGGGGCTTCAGGGCTTAGGGTTTAGGAAAGGATGGCAGGATCCTTAAGAAGATACTCAAGACGTAGCGACAAAGGCAAAGGAGAAGAAACCCAAAGTTCCTAGTCCTAAGCCCTGAACACCCAAAAAAACCCTGAAATGAACCTGACTCTAATGCAACTAACCCCTTTGAAGAACTCCGCAGAAAACTTCGGACGGCCCCCTTTAAAGCGCGCCTGAACACGTTCCGGACGCTCCAGAGTTGCAGGTGTCGCGTGGCCACCTCTTTTGGGCTTAAGGGGGTCCAGGGTCCCTCCCAGGATGCAGGGTTTAGAGTTTAGGGTCTAGGGTTTAGGGTTTAGGGTTTAGGGTTTAGGGTTTAGGGTCTAGGGTTAAGGGTTTGGGGTGAAGGGTTTAGGGCTGAAGGGTTTAGGGTCTTTGGTTTAAGGGTTTGCGGCTTACGGTGTTGGGGTTTGGGGTTAAGGCTTGGAGTTTAGGGTCCTCCAGGGATACTTTAAGGGGTACTTTACAAGTAAACCGGGTTTTAAGCGGTTGAAGGTTTATCGTTTTGGGCTTCAGGCTTAGGGTGTGGATTTTGGGATTTAGGCTTCAGGGTTTTGGGTTGAGGGTTTAGGGTTTAGTTAGGGCTGAGGGCTTGGCGGGCTCTGGGGCTTTGGGGCTTTAAGTTTAGGGGTGTAAATGTTTACGAGCTTGCGGGTTTAGGCTACTCTGAGGCTAGTATCAGGGT